AACTCACGACCTTGCACTTGCCAGGCAGGCGCTTTTGCCGCTGAGCTAAATCCCCAGCCCCCTGTTTTCATGAGTATTAATTTCATAAATAACAACCTCAGCTGAACAAATCTCATAGCATTATTTCTTCCAATTTAAAAAATTGTGGTAAAATACAAAATTTTGGCATTTGTATTGTGCAACCATCACTACCACCTACCTCCAGAACTTTTTTCCATCATAAAAAACAAACTCTATTCCCATTAAATAACTTCTCATTCTCCCTCCAATCTCCATAGCGTTACTTTTTTGGTACTGGGAATTGAACTCAGGACCTTGCACTTGCCAGGCAGGCGCTGTGCCACTGAGCTGGGCCGTCCCCAGCCCAGCATTACTTTTTGATAGCCAGCATAGGTTGTCAGCCCATTCTGCTCCTCTCCCATTGTCCCTAAGGCGGCATCTATGCTTGAGAAAAGCAGGGGCTCTCTAGGACAGCGGGGGAGGAAACCTGGCAGAGTTTCTTATACCTGGCTTTCACCATCAGTATGGACTCCAGCATTAGCTTCTGACATTCATGCCTCCCTAGCCAGTTCTAGGTCTGGCATCCTACGCTGATGTCCAGATTTTCTTGCACTGGGGATTGAACCCAGGATTTTCACACTGAGCTACATCCCCAGTCCTCTACTTATTTTGAGACAGGGTCTCACTAAGTTTCCCAAGCAAGACTTGAATTTTTTTTTTTTGTTTTTTTTGTTTTTTGTTTTTTGCTTTTCTCCGGTACCGGGAACCGAACTCACGACCTTGCGCTTGCCAGGCAGGCGCTTTTGCTGCTGAGCTAAATCCCCAGCCCCAAGACTTGAATTTTTGATCCTCTTTTTGATATGCTGCTTTCCTCTATCTTGTCCCCCTAACCCCCAAATGGGATATTTCAATAGTGAGCCTGCGCCCTAGGAGCAGCTCTCCTTTGCTATTCAGCTGCTGCCCCCTGCTGGTACTGGGCCATTTCTTTGGTACATTTGTAGCCTACAAGACAAATTACTGGAAGCAAGCACCAGTCTCCTCTGCTTTCAAATGCCCAAATTATTCTGCTTGTGAAATCCTGTTTGGAGCGCTCCAGAACCGAAGCATTTTCACTGAGTGTTTTTGCTTCCCTAGACTTGATTCAGACTACAGGGTGGGGCAGGCTGGTCTGTTTCTTCCCGCTTCTTTATTATGCATGGGACTGGGGCTCAGCCTTGGAGAACCAGCTCTTAAAAGCACAGTCTGGGCTTTAAGGAATTCTCCCTCCTGCAAGTTCTAAAGGCCATGCTCTGGAAAGCAAAGCTGAGAACTTGAGTTTCCATTTTCACGGGCAATAAATCCTCTTTAACGTGACACAGTTAGTGAGGGCATAGGGAGAGGAAGAAATCTCAGTCTCTGCGGCTGTAGCAGTGTACTTGGGTCACCACAAGTGCCAAAGACCGAGTGGTTTAAACAGCAGATATTTATTTTCTTGCAGCTCTGTAGGCTGAAGTCCAAGATCAAGATGAGCCCGCTCTCCTCGGCTTACAGCTGGTGGTCTTCTCCCTGTGTCTTCCCTTGCTCTTCCCTCTGTATGCCTATGTCCTCAATTCCTTTTCAGAACATCAGTTGTCATATTGGATTAATTCCCACCCTAATGGCTTTATTTTTAAGCAGTTACCTCATGAAAGGTCAGATCTGCAGAGAGCCACATTCTAAAGTGTGAGGTTTAATATCCCTTATCTGAAATGCTTGGGACCAGAATTATTTTGATTTTGGAATGTTTACATAAACGTAATTTGACATCTTGGGGATGGAATGCACATCTAAACAAATGAATTTGTACATCTTGTACATCTTATGCACATAGCCTGAATGTAGCTTTATACAGTTTCAGTGTAACTACACCTCTCCTGGCCTGTCCTATGAGATCAGGTGTGAATTTTCTGCCTGCAGTGTCACACCAGCATCCAAAAAATTTCAGATTTTGTAGCACTTTGGATTTCAGATTCTTGGACTTAGGGATGCTCAACATGTGTTAGGATCAGGACTTCAGCATACGGAGTGCAGGAATTCAGTTTGGCCCATAACAGTTGGGTATTACTTCTCTCATTCATGGACAACAGATTCTTAAAGCCTAGAAAACCTACGAGTGAGAATGCATACACTGATTTCCCCTATGAAGCACCTATAGCTTCCAGATGTTTGAATGAAAAGCACAAGGTGAGGAGACACCTTTGGGTGAACAGGTGAGCCGCCATAGCTCCCAGGAACCCCTTCAGTACGTGCCTGCCCATGGCACCTTTCTCTACTCTCCGTCAGCTGTGGTTCTGGCTTTGGGAGAGCGGGAGGGGGTGAAGGAAGAAGAAAACTCTGTGTTTGCTTAGCTCCGAGGTCATCACACTCCTCCTGCAGCTTTGGCTGCTCCGGTGTCTCTTTTGCTGGTCCCTCCTCTTAGCCCCAACCCCTTGAGGCCGAAGTCCAGGGCTCAGCTTCGGCACTTGTTAGCTACTTACTTCTCTGCAGGTCTCACCTACTACCAGGGCTTTCAATACCACTTCCCTGCTGATGGCTTCCTCAGTGTCTCTGTCCAGCAGTCATGAGCCCTGAACTGTAGATTCATATATTCACTTGCCTACTTGACCCCTCCATTTAGGAGTCTATTAGCCATAGAACTATCAAAGACTGAACCTTTGAGTCTCCCTCCCCCGGCTCCCAGGCCTATCACATCTGATCCTCTTGCGGCTGATGGAGCTCCATCCCTCCAGTTACTCAAACTAAAATGTAGCAGAATCATCTTTTATCCACCTCTTTCACAGCCTATATCCAATCTATCTTTAGAAACGTAGGTTTTCCACTTGGTCCCATTTAGCACCCCACCGGCTACAAATGACCGTCTTGTTCCTAGAGTGCTACAACAGCATCTCAACTACGTCCGCTCCCTTTGTACAGCCTGTTCTCTGTACGGCAGCCTGTTCTGTTACAGTGCAAGCCGGAGCATGCTTCTTTTTCAGAAATCCCTCATGGCTTCGCATCTCAAAGTCAGAGTCCTTACAAGGCCCCACAGGACCCAGTAGCGTCCCAATTCATTCTACTCCAGCCAAGCCCAACTGGCCTCCTCGATCTTCCTCAGACCCAGCAGGGCCACTCTGCCTCCCGGCTTTTGCACCTGCTCTTCCCTCTGCTCCGGGTGTCCCCTCTCCTACCTCCTTCACTGGCTTCCGGCCTTCCCCTTCCTTAGGAGGCCTACCCAGGCCACTTTACTTAAAATTGCAACTAACCTGCTGCTTCCTGCTGCACTTCTAAGCTCTCTTACTCTATCTTAATATTTAAAATTTTATTTTCCATTATATTCATATTTTTGCATCTTCCCCCACCAGAAGGTAAACTCCACTGGGATGGGGATTGATTGTTCTGTACAGTGATGTATCCCTCCAAGGGGGCCTGGCTCACACAGTAGGTGCGATACTGTAACTGTGAGCTGAATTTTTATCCTATTCAATTTAATGAATTTAAGTGTAAGGAGCCACACCTGGCATGTGGCTAGCCTACCAGGCAGTGCAGGCGTGTTTCCTCATGTGACTGGGGGTGGGGACGGGGGCGGGGTGGGGTGCGTCTGTCAAGCACCCAGCTGGCAGTGACAGGTGCCCAGGGCATGCTCCCTTCCCCACCTCACACTGCTGCAGAAACCCACAGTTACTGCTTCTGGGGAGAGGTCCAGAGCACTTTCATAAAGGCAGGTCTGGGAGGGAACACCCACAAGGACCCCGTGAAGAAACATGACATACGACAGATGACTTGCCAAAAGCTGGCAAGTTATATTTTTATGTACATCCAAATGATCACTTTCTCATGCCTCCAGACCACTCAAAGGAGCCCTGAGAGCCTTAAGAGGAGCTTTGGGGTCTGCTAAGAGGCCTGAATAGGAGACCCAAGAAATTTGCTTCTTCCAACTCATCACTCTGTACTGACTGCTTTTCAGGGCAGAGTTTTCTGTCCATAGAGTTTGAAAATCTCCTCAACCCCCTATAAGTAAGCTTTGAAAAAGTCGATTAAATTTAAAACTCAGCCACCCTACCCGCAGCACAAGGAATGGGGATATAGCTCAGTTAAGTCAGAATGAAGAAGCCATTAAACTGTGGTGTCTGGCTGAGTTTTGAAAATTCAGATACCTCAGGGTTCTCAGGGCCTCACATCTTAGAGTTAAATCAGAGACCTGAACTTTTTACAGATGCAGAATCAGTAATAAACGACAGTGACTGATAACTTTTTAAATTCAAATGTGACCGACCACTGCAAGTGTTCTGCAGCACAGCATAAATTAAAGACCAAATCTATCCACAGAGACTCAGTTGGAAAACCTCAAATCCCCCCAAGTGCAGAGAGGAGACGAA